GGGAAGCTTCTGAAACGTAAAGATGACAACTCACCGCCTTCTAGAGCAGTGTTCCTCAACCTCCGGGTCCTCGTCTTATAAAAAATTACCAGGCCGCAGACTCACAAAGTTTGAGGATCACTGTTCTAGAGCATGGGTTAAGGATGCTCGGACTTGTACCTCCACGACCCCATATCTTCGTGACGTTGTGCCTAAAGCACAGTGACAACTTGCCTTCACCTCGATCTATTTTTCCACGCGTAAGTTGCGTGTTCATAATGTTTCTTCTTGATTACGACCCGGGAATTTTGAATCTCCCTTGTTAGGTTTAATTCTTTAATGTTTCTTGCCCTAGCGATCTACCGATCTGGCCGATGTAGGACAAATTAATCTACAGACATACTCGTACATATGTCAACATATGATGTTATGTTGTCGTAGCCTGTTTATTAGTTTTTTGGTTGCGTCCTGTTCTGCATCATGTGATTTGCCTCAAATATTTTCTTTTGGTTTCATTCTTAAATAATTCCATAATTCACTTCTTCTTCTTATTTTCCTATTCCTGTTGCTCCCACTCGGAGCATAGGCCATCCGTGAAAAGCTTCGTTTCATTTCAGTTCCTTGGACAGTGGATCAGCCCCATGCAAGGCCGCTACCTATTTTTTTTTATTGCTAGTGGGGTGGGACTAAGTCCCTTGTACTGCGGCCACTTCTGGCCTATTGTACCAGCCCCAGATGATAGGTGAGGGTGATTGTGGAGCAATTGGTGGAATGAAGCTTGACAGGGGAAACCGAAGTACTCGGAGAAAACCTGCCCCAGGACCACTTTATCCACCACAGATCCCACTTGACCAGACCCAAGATCGAACCCGGGCCGCCGCGATGGGAAGCCAGCGACTAACCGCTTGAGCTATGGCGCGGCCAGGCCGCTACCTAACAGACACAGAATAAACGCAGATATCCATGTTTTAAATGGGATTCGAACCCACGATCCCATTGTTAGAGAGGGCAAATACATTACGTAATTTCCTAGGACTTGTATTTTCCAGCTGTTTATTCTTTATTAACACCTGATATTACTTTTAGTGCTTAATATTGTAGCAATAATTTTCACCTGTTGACATATATGTGATTCATTCTGCTAAGCAATGCTTCTAAATGTTGCCAACTTATGTTACTCGTTGCCCCATAATTCTCAGCACGTTGACTGGCAACTATACAATTGTCACTATCGTTGTGACAGTGCTGAAGGTGTGTAGCAGCTACCCCCACTTTACCTACCAGAGGCGTTGGCCTGAGTCTACTACTGCTCCTCCGCTCTTAGCCATCCACCTTCAGAGCTCAGTCAGACAGTACTGCAGTGATAATTTACACACTAACTTGAAATCTATGATTTTAAGGATTAACATAAATGTAAATATCAATGTACGTTAGTTCAGGCGTTGAAATCTCTTGCAAACTGTAATATAACGCATTTCTGCAAGATATAAAAATGTGGAGAATATATTGTCACGTGTTAATGACTAGGCACGGGGTTTGGATTGATAACTTGATTTATTGCATGCTTGTAACTCTTAATTATAAATCATTATAACAGTCTAATTTACACACTCTATAGACCACAACTATACCTGTAGCACACACGAAATCTTCTGTTTCTTGTTCTGTCGTTACTAGTCGTTGGCAGTCCATTCTTCCGCTATTCCGGCTTTCAGCCGTGATGTCACAATACACTGACTGATTATACTTCATTATATAGCTAAAGTGGTCCCTTTAAGCGCTACGAAACTGCACTAACGTGACAGTACAACAAAACTGACAGTGTTGTGGTCAGATCTCCGACTCCATCTCTGGTAAGTCCTCGTCTCGAATCTCGGCTTAGACATGGCCTATTCTCTGTCATGTCTCTTCTTTATTTTGCCTAATTAAATGTTGGTAAAGTGCCTTAAATATACCACAGATGCCTCTTCCAATGCCTGCAGTTCGAATTATAGAAACTACTGAATGAAGTAAGTTTAATTGTATCGCTTGGTTAATTATAAAAAAAGATATTTGACACCTTCGTACTGTGACGTTTTTCCTGCTTTAGAATACCCTGGAACAGTACAAGCAACAGTGGAGGGATTAATCCTGTTATTGTAGCGACAGACAGATCTTCACCAACCCAACGAGGATGTCACATGGCAGTGAAATTATTTCTGACGTCACTTAAGATGCGAAATGCTCTCAAGCGAGATCTTCTTCTATACTAATGGCACACAAAGAGACTACAGTAAGGCGCTAGGGGAGCGCAACGGTTTTTGACATAACCAGGCGAGACAAATGCCATGTTCATTGAGCGAAGGGCATGAAGCGCGAGCTTGTGAAGGGGGGGGGGCGAGGCATCCATCAATCTGCCATAATTATTCATGTCTGAATCTTATAAATGCAATCTCAGGTAAATTTCATAATTTTACTTTGGAGTATATAAATTTAATGTAACTTCTACTTCACATGAAGCAAAAATCACGCCTTCAAAATATTCCTCAGTTCATACCACTGATACATGGTATAATATATAGACCAGTAATGTTCATTTGAAGCACTTTTATATGATGAACATGTAACGAAACATAAGAACCTAAAATCCAAGTAGATAAAACAAGTAGTTTGCTTTCAAAATCAAACTCACCATATGAAAGGTTAATATCTACTTAAACAGAGGTAGCTGGTGCCTTCGTGTGTCTTGCTCTGAACCTTATCACGCCCTTATCTCTCTCACTACATATGTACAAAGGTTTATAATATTGAACAGTAGCTCCGGTTTTACGCAATTTCGGATTACCACAATAAAAGAATGATGAGCTTTGGATTAAAGAAAATTGTGTAAAAGGTCGCGAATGAGTGAATGGTCTTTCGTTGCTAATAAAAAATTGCTTCCTGTGGAATCATGGGGTCTATAACAAATAAAACTCACGTACTAACATTTTCAGTCTACCGTTGATTTCAACGGGCCCTTCTCTGTTACTTTAAAACCCACCATCTGATCTGCTGATCCCTGATCTGAGTGAAATATATCAGCACCAAGTGTAGTTGACCAGCATGGAGGTAGAAGCAGTAGGACCCTGATCTGAGTAGACTATTTAGCGCCGAATGACACTTGGATATGATAATGAGTTCTGAGTAGGAAGCAACCATGGTCTATTTGAAGGTGAAATTTCTGCATTTGCCTAGTGACACCGAGAAATCACTCATCGGTTCACCGGCCGATAATTAAGTAAGTGTGTTTGGGTGGTGGATGAGTGGGTGTGAGTATAGCATAAGATTTCCTATTCCGTTGCGTGGGAATGGATAATATTATGCAACCAGATCCAGTTGATAAGTAAACCTGTAGAGATTAAGAGCATGCTGATCACTAAGACTACCGCACCCGTTGGGTGCGCACAGTGGTGCATTGCCCCTTCTGTGGCTCACTCATTGCCAGTTCCAGAAGGATATACAAGAGACAATCTATGATTTGTACAATTCGCCACATATCATTAAGATAAATCAAGGGGAGTGGCATGGCGAGACTTGTATCACGAATGGTGGAGAAGATAAATGCATAGAGAATTCAATTTGAAAACATGAAAGGAAAATACGTGTTGGGGACGTAGGCGTTCGTAGCAAGGTGAAGTTGTCGCTGTGCTTAACTAATTAAACACTACATCATTAAGGCGTATGGGGGAGTGGATATATAGATCAACATTTTCTTGACCTCGGCACTAGTTGGAGGTGAGTGGTCAGTTTCACGCCTCTGCTGCTTTAAACCCGGGGAAAGAGGCCCCGGTACCCATTGGATATGAGGCTGGGTGAGCCCCAGAGCCGGTCTCACACTGTGGAGAGGAGAAAATTCTTGACCCTAACGGGACTCAAACTCCGACCAGATGTTCGTAGTAGAATAATAAATTGAACTGTAAATAAATAGGATATGGGGATGTGGATTGGATTATACTTGTTCAGGAAAGGATGCAGTAGCAAGCTCTTTTGAATAGGGCAATGAACATTTGTGTTCTATTAGAGGCGGCAAATGTTTCGACCAGCTGAGCTGCTGAGGTTTTCTCAAGGATATCTCTTCTCCGTGAAATCAGTTCTTTAGTTATTTATCGTCGTTTTATCATATATATAAGTTCCATAGTGTGCAGTGTTAGGATGACTGTTTCATTTGTGTCTTGTTTGTTGAATAGCACTGTATCGACTGCTTGAGTTATGTGTCACTGCCGCATGTTTGTAAATAATAAATTTGGGAGGCTATAGAAGAAATTATGACCTCTTTTAATGTATTACTGTAATGTCTGTGTGGATGAGATAAGGAAAAACGCGAAGAAACTTGCCAAGACACCCAGTCACCGGGACATTATTTGAATCCAGGGCCCCTAAAAGCTAAGAAGTCCCAGTTAAGCCTTTGTGAGGTCCTGTACTTGATTCTAAAGAATCACAGGAGTTTTTTGAAAGACAACTCCATTTCCTGCCACATAAGGAGGGACGTGTAAGATTTGAGGTGTTCACGGCTGTGACTATGAAGAATGGCGTTTTCTGGGATGTGGCGCCGTGTAGATCTTGTGGGAACTGACGTTTCGGAGGAACGTATAGTTTTCATCTTCAGGGTAGAAAAATCTGCAAGCGAGGAACTAGCTTCAGCAGGTGCCTGCGGATTTTTCTACCTTGAAGATGGAGACGATACGTTCCACGTCGGTTCACACAAGCTCTACACGGCGCCACATCCCAGAAGAA